TTACACCTTCTACCTTGTTAACCTATCGAGCACATTGTTTGAAATCACTGCTGTGACGAGACCAATCTCGCCACATTGCATTGGAGAAGCCTGGTTGCTCGCCTGCTGCCTTTGGACTATGGCCCCCTGTTAAAAGACATCTTTTTTACCTGCAGAAAAGCTTCATTCGTGCTTTTCTGCCTGGGGTTCGGTAGATTTGTTTGAATGTGTTGTACCCCAGATAGGAATCCCATGGAGCCCATTCGTATGAAACTGACTGTAAAGACTTTGGTTCCATGGCGATTAAACTGTATTCGTGTGGTCTGAGCGTCATTCACTTAATAATGTGCGCTCAGACCTGAGCTATCTGGGGATATGTTAAATGTATAGTTTTAATGTAATGTGTCTTACCTGGTGTATTTTAACAGTAATGCTTGTTTTGTGTCCCCATGTGCATAATGGAGTCTTGTCTCTGACATGTCTGTGTTTTATGTATAAAATGGGACTTTGTGTATTGTACAGTATTTTAATGCTTTGTGCAAACCATGTGCATAATGGAGTCTTGTCTCTGTCCTGGGAGATAATTTAATTACTTCTCAATTATCTCCTGGGCAGAGGAGAGGAAGCCAGGATGCATTGTGGTAAAAAGTATGTGTAATTGGGTTACCTCTCAGGATAAGGGGGAGGGAATCTGTGGGTTGTAACTAATATGTTACTGGATATTTTATACCTCCCTGTGGGCGGTCCTGTATTTGCAAGACTGTAATAAAAACCAGGCTGGGTGTGCCAGCACCTCAGACCACTGCTTGACCCTCAACACGGAGCCTTGTCTCGTTCTTGCGGGGATTCACTGTATGCTGTTAGAGACTGATTGCCAGGAGTGTAAGCTGATTGTCTGCTTTTCCTGTTCATCTGCTAGCAGCTATTTGGGAGGTTCCAGTTCGGGAGTTGGAGTGCTATTTTGTATCCAGTTCGGGGGTTTGGTGTTCTGCAGTAGCTGTGCCTGTATCTCTGGAAAGGGGGCCGATCGCCTAAACGGTTTTTACCCCTTGTGCGCAAAACGGTCCGTTACAACTGCCTACAAAATACTTAATCTAGTTTGAAACATCTTAGAACAACTGTCCCAAACAAAGCTTCATACTAACTCATGAAGAACCTTGCCAAGACAGCGATCACAAGATGAACCATTTACATATTATATAGAATGGGAGAAAATAGCACAAAATGGGTTCCAATATTCTAATATAATCTTCTATATCAATCCTCAGTATTTTGTTCCAAATAACATTTTTCACCCATCTTGGAAGGTGGCAACTTTCTTGCATGATATAGCCATTTACAATCTCCTTGAAAAATGACTTTGTATGGAAGGTACCTTATTTTGCATAAATACTGACATGTAAATAAATCATTTCTTGGCTGAATGTTTAGAACGTTACAACAAGCGCTTAGTTATTGGGTAATCACACTATATGTTGAAATATTTAACACTTCTCCTAACAGATGATGTTAGCCCTGCCCATTAACCAAGTTACGCCTTTGTTTAGGGAGGGGTGCTGGCTATAAAGCTAATGCACTGATGGTCTTGACTTTACAGAGAGATCTGGAGACCATTCCTGATCTACACAAACCAGAAAACCCCAAGAGGAAACAAGAATTATCCCTGCTGGGAGTGTAGAGATTTGGAAGCTTGTTTTCTGATC